ATGTTATCTTATAATATCTCAAATCTAAATCTTAATATGGACGAGTAAAGGGGAAATTAGCACAGGGGTTTTGTAAAGAATTAGAAGTATTGATGGGTTACGGCAGATATTAAAAGCCACACCAGCTGGGCAAAACATCTTTCTTTTTAAGCAGATTGGAGGGTCATATTCAGTGTATTAAGCACATGAAAAAAACATCAAATGGACTTTAGAAATAATTTATGGTCTTTCATTTAAAATATTTATGATAAATTATTCACAATTACAAAAATAACTTATTGCTGTAAAGTTAGAGTTTGAAAAGGAGATTTCCATTTCTCAGAGCAGTGTGTTGTCTGTGTTTTCTTTACGATATAGTTGGCTCAACGCTTCCGTGATATGTGCTGCATTTAGATGGTTTCCATGGGGACAATTTCGGCTTAAACTTAGGTGAGAATGTAAGTTAATTTTAAATGAGTTGAAGAAGTGGAAATTTTGTACAGTAAATGGTAACCTTATCTCTCCGGCTAATCAATTTCACATTTTCAAGTTGGTGAAATCTCTTTTTAACCATGTTTCCCCCGTTCTGTCCTTTGTTTCCAATAACTTCCCCTTCTCTCTTCTTCTTCTCTCCCCGCCTCGCCTCATTTCACTCCCCGCCATCGTCTTAACGTCACCTTCTGCTTCTTCCCACGGCCTCTTTAAGAAAACAGATATTCTCGCAGTCTTATTTCCATTTCCTAAGCTGGAAAACGGAGCTCGAGAGGATTTAGCCTCGGAGATCTGCTGCCAGAGTTTCGATCTGAAGCTACAAATGCCCACCTCCCTAGCTTGCTTCAGCGCATCATGCGATGTGGTGGTTGTTAGGACCAAAGGGAAGTATAGTTGTAAAGATTTAACAGAATTTTACTATTTAGATGCGTTATAAATTTTATAGGAAACGAAGCCAAAGTAAGAATTAGAGATCAGCTTTAAAAAGATGGTAACATGGCCTGTGGGCCAGGGATCCATTGGAAGGAAAGGATCCTGGGCACGGGGACTGAGGAAGTCTGGAAGGGAATCGGAGGAAACTCGGTCACTTCTTTTGTTGTTTGTATTATTTTGTATCTTCTTTGGAATCTTGTTTCATCAGCTATTGTTTCTTCCCTTCTAGCTCTCTCCTATGTATCTTCCAAGTCCTTCCACTTTTTTTTAAAAAAAACTCTCTCTTCCTCAGTGATTTCTTCTTACTTCCTGTCTACTGTCACATTTTGATTTCATTTTTAAACATTTCTGAAGGATAATCTTATTTATGTATGCGCCAAATGCTCCAGTTTTGAGTTCAGACTTTTCTTCTGACTGAGACTTACGGGAGCCATGCAGAGATTGACGATCCCAAAATCAATCTCCTTTTCCATCCCTCCCCACAATTCAACAAGGACTTCTATGATTAACATTCATGTTTTTCTTTGAAAACATTTATTTCTTTGGCTTCTCTATCTGGATATTATATATTTTCTGTCTCTAACTTTCCTGGCTTCTTCTTGGGCATTTCTTTTTCCTTTCTCCTTTGCAACATGGGTTTTTTTCTAATCCCATGTCGCTGGTTTTCTTTTCTTCTCACACCCAAGTTCCTTCTATTCCTTTGGTTACCATTGCTCTGCGCCCCAGATGACTTTTAAATCCTTGAGATGAATCCATACTTCTGATTAATAGAAGAATACATATGGAGTTCTCGTTGATTTTTTTCTATCACTCCAGAATTCATAACTCCACATCTTAATCCCATTTTATGATGGCAATGGATATTGTTATTTTAATGTTTCTCTGAAAATTTAAATTACACGTAAACTAAGAAGGGCACTGCCCTAACTCTTCCCAACATCTTTATTTTTATTCATGGAAATATAATGATTCACGTTACCCAGGCTTGAAACTTCAGATTTATCTCTAGTTTCTTTCCCTGCTTTTGACGTTTCCACCCTCCTGTATCAATTCTTGGGTAAATTTATTCCTGAGACAGCACATCCCTTACTTGAGATGTAGCGAGGTAGGTAAAACTATTGAGAGGCAGAAGTTGGGGATTGACTGCTTGGTCTTGGATCTTAGTTCCTCCTCTTAACTCAGTGGATGGGCTTACGTAAAGCATTTAATCTAGCCCGGCCGGGCATGGCTCAGCGATTGAGCATCAACCTAGGATCCAGGAGATGGCGGTTCCATTCCTGGTTGGGACACATGCCCAGGGTGTGGGCTTGATCCCCAGTTGGGGGTGTGCCGGAGGCAGCCAATCAATGACTCTCTCATCATGGATGTTTCTCTCTCTCTCCCTCTCCCTTCCTCTCTCTGAAATCAATAAAGATGTATTTAAAAAACAAAACCAAAAACAAATCACTTAATCTAGACAATCGACATAGTAAAATTTTATAGGATGGCTGAAAAGCAAATGAATTGACACATAGAAACCACGTGGCAGGACTCAATAAATGTTAACGTTTTTCATAGGTCAAAGAAATTGCATTTGTTTTCACTTAGTTTTTCCCATTTTCTTCCAAAATGACTTTCTGGCCTCCAGATGCTTACCTGTACCAATTTATCCCATAAGTTTTTAGGAAAGAATAATTCCTACTCCTGAAATTTTTTTTTATGCTCCTGGAGTCCCCCTTCTCATTCATCTCACTCTACTCCAGTAGATGATATGACTTATCTTGCTGATAAACATGCAGAGAAGCATATCTTGCTGGACTTGGGTCAGCTGCTCTTTTGCAACAGACTGATGTCTAATCTGCTCGGATTCAGCATTCTCGGGCTGGCTGTGCGCTTTGGTCTAGTTCTGAAGTTCAGTTAGTAGGCCAGTTTGGTTCTCACATTGCACTCTAATTTAGCTGCTAACAGCAGTAATGACTACTGTGTAACCAATACCTGCCATGGCATGACTTTGTTTCTCAGAAGCTGAGAAAATAAGTTCCTCTTCTGATGCCTCTTGGAGACACACACACACACTGCTACCAAAGCTCATTCCCATCATGCCATTCGAAAGAAAAAAGTATGTATTTATTTAGTCATTCATTTAACAAACATGAGCTAAAGCCGAGGATGGGGAAGTTGGAGGGGTGCCAGCACCTAAACAGTGCTCTGGTGAGTGTTAGAGAGAGGAAGTGAAGCCGCCGTGTGCTGGGCCTAGATTCTTCCGTCTAAGGCTTGAGGATCTATGAGATCGCGATAGTGCTAAACTTTGTCAAAGCAGACTGATTGCAGACATGCACAGCCTTCGTTTTGTGCTTCTGCTGCATTTACTTTATTAAGCTCCCATCAAATTTATGACACCATTCCCTGTATTATAATTGTATGAATTTTTATTGCAGTTAGCCAATGGGAGAGCAAGCTCCTTCATGAGAGCCACTATATTTCAAATAGCTGTGCCGAGAACGTGCACCAAGAGGAATGGCAGTAAATATCTGACGAATGAACTAATTTACACCAGTAGAAACTGTATTATCTTTTTAATCAAACAGACACACATTTAATATCAGCGTCAGCTCCCAATAAGTAGTTGTCCTGCTCACATATTAAATTGGAATAATAATACAGAAATGATATGAGAATTAAATAAAGCAATCCATGTCAACCCACAAATCACAGTATCTGGTAGATGATATGTGGTCAATACATATTAGTGGACTCACACATTGCCTAAATATTGGGTAAAATATATATAATTTGTAAGAACCTTGATTTCCATACAAAGCAGAGATCATTGATTTTCATTATCATCTTCTCTCATTTGACCCATATAAGTATTTGAGGAATCTGCTTTGATATTGCCCCTGTTTTTTCCTCTAGTGTGTATTTTGTAACGGTTCCTATCTGTACTGCACAATTTGCATACTTGGAACTGCTGGTTTCCCAAAGAATTCAGGACGGCTGACAAATGCCCAAGTAACCGTACTGAAGACTTTATTAGAAGATGTGTTGCCACGTAGAATTAATGACCTTTAGTGAGGCAATCGGGGATGCTCAGTGTGTTCTCAAATCTTACCAACAAGATGACATTATTTAGATTTTTGTTTCAGTTGCCTAGTTACCAGTCTCTGTAAATCTTTTCATGTTGCTCTCAAGAGTTAAAAATAAAGTGTCTGCAGTTTTTCATTTTTTAAAAAAATAACACATGTGCGTACAGACTAAAAGAAGAAATCTCTCTATTTAGGGAAGGCATAGTTGGATAAGAGGAATTGCAGCTAAATGGAGGGAGTGACAGCATCTAGGTAAAATTTTGGGCAAGGAGAAGCTGATAGTTACAAAGTATTTTGGGGGAGATGAAACCAAACCAAGCCAAGCATTAACCAGCAAGAGAACATAGATTAAAATACCCTAACATCACTGCAAACAAAGCTAGTGCCCATTCATTAACAACAAAAGAGATAAACTTCTACTTTATTTGGACAGTGTGTGTTTATTTCATGATTTTTTTTTTTTTAATATATCTTTATTGATTTCAGAGAGAGGAAAGGAGAGGGAGAGAGAGATAGAAACATCAATGATGAGAGAGTCATTGATTGAGCCCACAACCCGGGCATGTGCCCTGACCGGAAATCGAACCCCGATCGCCTGGATCCTAGGTTGACGCTCAACCGCTAAGCCACACCCGGCCGGGCTACTTCATGATTGTTTAATTTGTTTTTCCCCTCATTGACTGATCTGGAAAATTGGTAAAGGCCGTCTATTCCTTCTGAGCGCCAATGAAGTTGCCTTTGGTTCAAGGGCATTAGAAAGAACTTAATACCTCTGACTTCATGTTTTAAACTCTATAAAACTGAGTTTGAAATGAAAGGAAATGATAACATTTTTTAATGTTTCTATTGTAAATTATACATAAATGAGTAAAATTTATCTTAACCATTTTTAGGTAAATAGTTAAGCGGCGTTAACTACATTCATATTGTTATGTAATCATCATCACCAATTGTCTCCAGAGCTCTTATCACTAGCAAAACGGAATCTCTACACCAATTAAATGATAACGACCCGTTTTTCCCTCCTCTCAGGCCCTGGCCACCACGGTTCTACTTTCATCTCTGATTTGGACTGCCCTCAATACCTCGGGTAAGTGCAGAAGTTCTTTTCAATTTCTCTACATACTCACCAACGCCTGTTTTGTTATGTTTTGTGTGTTTTTTTTAATAGTAACCATCCAAATGGGTGTAAAGTGGTATCTCACTGTCATTTTGACTTGCCTCCCTGATGATTAGTGATGTTGAACACCTTTTCAAGTGATTATTGGCAGTTCGTGTGTCTTCTATGGAGTAATGTCTGTTCAAGTCCTTTGCTTATTTCCGAATCATTTGTTGTTGTTGAATTTTATGAGTTCCCTATACATTCAGGATACCAATCCTTTATCAGATATATAATTTGCAACTATTTTCTACTATTTTGTGGGTCGTCTTTTTCTCGTGTCTATAGTATTTTTTGATGCGTGAACGTAGGTGGCTGAGCTTATATGGTGGGAACTCATGGGCGTGGTCCTCTGATTGCTTCGATTCCTTCAGTGAAATATAAAGAAGGGTGTCTGCTGATAGTGAACATAGAGAGGAAACAGTGGTATTTTAATTAACTTGGTGTTTTTATTTGTTTTAGATTTGGTTTTAATTATATTGAGTCTTGGAAAAGATATCTATCAATAAAAGTGTGAATGTGACTGATGCTTGTCTTAAAGTCTTCTCTAGATTCCACTGTTCTTAGACTGGACACTGAGCGTGTGCCAGCTTTAGAATGTTTTCTCCTACAACTACTGATGATGGGACATACTAGGCGGAAGACATTGAGGAACATTAAGTCCCGTAATGTATTTACCAACATACATATATCCTCTCACGTTTACAGAGACAAGAGAGAGAAAATAGCCAGCCACAAAGTATTTAAGAGCAGTAAACACGTGTGAGAATTTTCACAATCTACAATTTCCCAGCTAATAACAGTGTCATCCAATTTGTCAGGCATGAGAGCTCATCTATCTCAGATGATAAAAGATCACACAAAGATTTCCAGGCAGAGAAGGGTTTCCATTTAAACAATAAACTCTAGACACTCTTTCTAGGTAAATGACCTGAAATCTATTCTATAATTATGACAAATAGGAGACAGCAGCACCACATGTCGAGCTCATCAGCACCCCGCATCTCGACTGAGACAAAATTCAAGTGATCATTCATCATTTCAATTGTATTAGCCACCATTTGTCTGTATTATTTTAACATTAACCTTTCTCACCTAATATCGTTCAGCAGAATTTACTGTAAATGACTCAGAGAGAGGAGGTGACTAACTTTTGTTTCCATTTATGCATTTGCTGTGTGGGAGGGTACATCGAAAAATACAGAAATTACTATTTAAGCTAAACGATAATCATAATTGAGGCTTGCTTGAATCTCGTTGAGTTGTTTTAGGCGGAGATAAAGGAGACCATATCTTACATTGTATGTGACACTTCCATATGTGTGTATATATCACACACAAATTCCAATGCATAAAGTATCCAAAATCAACACAGAAGTGGGTGCACACACCAAAATCTAGCTATTGACCATTCTTTCCCCCAACCAAAGATAAAAGTGACTTTTTTTTTTTTTTTTTTTTACCAAA